CTTGTTGTGGGTGTTCTGGTATTTCAGGGTACCGGGGCCACCCTGTTTATGGAAACTACCACTTACGGCCCTGCCAGGGTCTTTGTTGCAGAAGTTTCAAGTCGTGGTTTCTGATGCTGGTTGATTTGCGCGGTGGAGTGCGGGTGCATGAGATCTGCTCCTCAGGAAGTGGTCTGGGGTTTCTCCGAACATTCACACATGCGATGCGCACTGGTAGTCTCCGCAGTTTGTGGCCGAAATCTTTGGAGTGGAGAACCCTAACCCCTAAACCCCAAACCTCAATCTAGAGGCCTGACTCACGAAGTTTCAATTCCGTGCCTCCCTATCTACTCAGTCTTTTTATGCGAGCAGGGTTTGGGATTTCTGGCTGGTGGACCGGTGCGTGAGTTCCCAGCATTCAATACTTGGTTTAAGCCCTAAACCCTCAACCCTGACCCTAAACCCAAAGAGTTGCTAGCGCAAAAACTGAGGCTGGCCGAATGGATGATCTCGGCCATGTCTGTATTTTCCTGGTTGCTAACCTCCCTAACGGTTGCCATTGTGCCTGCGCTGCCAGCAATATTGCATATTGGGGTGATATTCGGGTCATATTAGGGTTATAGCGGGGTGAAATTAGGGTTATATCGGGGTTATTTTGGGATAATGGAAAAGGAAATGGAAACTACTATAGTATTATAGGGAAAAATGGAGGGTTTTGGGGATATAGGTACCCATTGGGGTAATATTATCCTTGACCCCTAAACCCTACATTGCTGAGGCATCCACATGCCCTATCGACGAGCTAGAGCTGAGTAGCTTCATCGATGCCCGCCCTGGACTTTGCTTCATCTTGGCTGTGCCTCCAGCTCCTCTGCCCGCATCAGCTAACGGCAGGCCAGCTTTGTAAGTGATGTGAGCTATAGTCTAAACTCCTTAATGGGATTATATAGGGGATTATATAGGGACTACTACGGGGGATATTAAGGGGGATACTAGGAGTTTAGACTATAGCTCATGTGAGCTTTACTAAGGGAGATGGTCGGAGTTTAGATTATAGATCATGTGACGGTGCAAGATTTGATCCATCCACTGTAATTTTGGGTGCTGATTGGTGTAGGCCCCCCAAACAAAATAGGGTCCTAATTGATGGAATGGGGTGGGGCTCCCCCCAAACGAATCTGGATCCTAGGCTTAAGTTAAATTCAATAGGAAGGATCAGAATCGGCTCGGTAATAGATCAGAAGGGTCGGAAGGTTTCGGAAGGTATTCAGAAAGGTTTGAGGAGTTCACAGGATTTCAGTTTTCAAGGTTTCAGAAGGTTTTGAGAAGAATTTTAGAAAGGATTCAGACCAAGGTCCTGGAAGTTTTGCTTTAAAATGCTGCGCCTTTAAACGTAAAAGGTTTTTGGTTTCTGCTATTTTTAGGGCTCCCAGATTTCACGGATCATTGAGGGCCCCCAAAACATTCGTATTTTTGAGGCTCTGGGCGGCTGCTGGACTACCCCCTTGCAAAAATGATTGCTAGGCCTCCTCGAAGGAGGGGTCTAGTAAGAAATCGACAGTTTTGGATCTGGCTTCGAACCTGAAAATCCGAAGTTCCAATCTAAGTTTAAAAGAGCAGCTTGGATTGGGACCCTAAAGCTAATTACTTACTGCCTGCCATGCTTTTTGAAAGCGAATGACGTATTTTTTCTATTGACTTATTCTCAGAATTATTTCTTTGGACGCACAACTTCGCACAATTAAGGCCCCCCAAAAGAATCAGGGGGTGCTGAATGATTTCGGCGAAGTTTCGCGCAATCAAGCCCCCCACACTAATCGGGATCAAACATTGGTACTTGCCAAGGCGCACTCTTTGGCAGATTTAGCAGGTAGCCATGCAGTCAGGAGCTCTTACTAACAGCATGACACGGGGTATGGTGATCATCATGATGCTAACGCTTACTCATCGTCCGTATCGTGCTCTGTTGAGCTATAGTCTAAACTCCCTAGAGGGAGTTATATAGGGGATTTTATAGGGGGCTTTCATAAGGGTTACTAAGGGGAATACGAGGAGTTTAGACTACGGCTCAGTTGGATTTCTTGATTCCCCAAGCCAACACCAGAGCAGTCTCCAAGGCACTGACCGCCTCGACAAGACTCACCGAGCTCCCCATTCCCCGCTTGCTAACCGTCACCGCTGTGCTCGGGCTGGTGGGAAGAGGACTGCGGTTTGGGTCTGTAGCTGCAACTACAAAGCAGGATAGATGTTCACAGACCCCTTTTTACAAAGCACACCCTTCATACTCAGCGAAGCCTATATGCCCTCGGAGCAACCATAATAATTAAGGCCACAGTGAGCTAAACCGTCACCCCCATATGGATGGAGTCCTCATGATCACCCTGAGCATAGGCGAGATCTTTCAGAAGCTGCCATAGCTTACACTGGCTGTCCCAAATCTGACGCCCTGAACCCAAGCCCCAAACCCCACAATGCAAACGCGAAACACTGAGACGCACCAAGTCATGTGGGAGTTTCCCAAAATTAGGGGTACCCTTTTTGGGGGTCCCCATAAGGACTGTAGTATATTGGGGTCTATATTGGGGTCCCCTTGTTTTGGGAAACTCCCATGTCTGTTACCCCTCAGGACTTCAGGCGATCTGCCGTCATCACTGTCGTTTTCCCCTACCGGGCTCCGTTGTCCTCCTGGAGTGACTTGGATGCATTCTTGAAAATGGCTGAGTACAATCTTACTTGTTTCATATGAGCTATAATCTAGACTCCTTAAAGGGGGTTGTATAGGGGACTAGCTAGGGGACTATTATAGATGTTATTAAGGGGATACTAGGAGTGTAGACTATAGCTCAAGTGTGAATACTTGAGCCAAGTCTTGAGAAACGACGATCTTGTTGAATGGTACCGAAACAAGTGCCCCACTATGATCCGGAATGTACCGAAGTTATGGTCCTGGCTACATTGGTGGGGGTCCGAACATCAATATCTATAAGAGGCAAAATGGGTCTCCTTTCCGCCGCGCGGGCATACAGGCTCCTGTGTGAGGTTTCTACAGACCCCATCGCATTTCAAAGCAACCCCTTCGCAGCTTCCATATTTCACATGTGCTTGCATCATAATTTGATTTTCATCAGTTCGTGTGGACCTCATAGATTCCTTGCTGCTGATCCTCTGCGCCTGTCTCTCCACTCATTGCCTACTAATGAGGGACTGTAGAAGAGTGTTTGGATTCAGATGACAAGGGTTGGATGTTTAAGGTTAAGCCTTCAAAGGGAGCCAGATCGCATTTTCCCAGTGTTCAATGTATGTATTCTATTGTATTCTGGTGCAAAGGACAGGCTTCAAAGGCAGAGCTACTAAGCCTGCCCAACACCCTGCACCCCCCTGCGCTAAACCATAAATCCTAAACCCTAAGCCCTCAACCCTAAACCTACACCCTGGACCCTAAACCCTAAACCCCAGCCTCAACCCTAAACCCTAAGCCCCAACCCCTCAACCCTAAACCCTAAGCCCTCAACCCTAAACCCCTAAACCGCGCACTTGCGCAGGCTTTGGTGTCTTGACGTGATGGTATCATCCAGCATAAATGAGATGGCGAGGCCTGCAGGACGCCAAAAGACAAGCACTGCGTGGCCTGTTTAGGGTGTATGGTTTAGATACGGGTTTTCATATATACAGATATATAGATATATATATAGGCGATATATATATATATATATACATATATACATATATATATACATGGTTAAATAAGCCCTATATAGGGTTGAAGTACTGTGTTGGGGGTCCCCATGATGAGGATCATGTTATATCGGGGTCTGCATTGGGGTCCCCCTATTTAGGGCAATTGGCATATCTAGCAGACATGTGTAGATGTTTTCATGTGTATATACAATAAATTTGAATTTTGATTTTACATCTGTCTTGCAATATCCTTTTTTAAATCAACTCCGGGAATGATGATGGTCATGATAGTGTTGCTTCCGTCTTCCTTCCTAACCAGTCGTCGACGACCTCTTTTCCATAGATGTTTAGGGTTTTGGGTTTAGAGTGATGCCGGTTTTCAAAAGAAAGAACGAATGTTCCCCCGTTGCATAGAATGCGGTGCACGCACGTATTGTGGCCGATATCATATTTGCCATCCTCTAGCCTCTCAGTATTCCCCTGTATAGCCTCTATAGTGGTCCCCTGTATCCTCTCCCATATAACAGCCTCTAAGGAGTTAAGACTATAGCCCACATAAAGCTTTGTATGTCTCATCTTTCTCTCACTATGCGTATCTATATTTCGTATATTCACATACCACTGCTGGCAAGCAAAAGCTGCTGAACAGCCAATTTAGGGTTTAGGGTTTAGAATATGTTGGGCTTATATAGGGATGATGGAGAAGACAATGGAAACTATTACATTTCAATGGGCATAAATTGGAGTTATCTGTAGATTGTTCTGGACAACAAAGAACCTCAAACCCGAGCAGGGCGGATCCACGACCAGGTGGTGTGCTCCGGCTGGCATCAGAGAAAGCCTGCATGGGGCTGAAGCAGGAATTATCATAAGGCTTTGAAGAAGGCTGCACAGGGTTCTAGATGGTTCTTTTGAAGTTGTCAGGCAAAGAAACTTAACAGCTTCTTGCTCGTTCCGGCATGCTGTTGTGACAGAAAATCAGCAACGTTTCCAAGAATGCTTTGCCCAGAGCCTAGCATCCACTGCCAATTCCCAAAGAAGTCATGAATAAAAAGCCTTGAAATGATGCTCTGAGAGCCGTCAAATTTTGAGTTTCAAGTATTCATTGACACCTGCCTGAGTCCTTCTTCATAGTTTCTGTGAGGGCAAGACCACCGAACCCCACCCACAGGAACGCATAGATGACTCCATAGGCAGGGTAGCTTGCAGTTGCCAAGGCGCGTTCTTGGTACCGTCTGTGTCAAAGTTGATACGCTTGTGCGTGGATGGTACTGCTAGGTCTTAATCTTGCTGCTAAGTCCGAAATTCTGCTGACCGTGGTTGCAACCTTTGGCTTCGGGATCATGACCTACATGTGGACCATCCGAGCTCGATCTACGGTTCGCTTCCTGGTGCCAGATGAGAAGCGATGCAGTAGGAGTAATAGTGACGCCAGCAGCAGCAGCAGCTGCAGCGGCAGAAGCAGCCGTGGCAGCTGTGGTGCGGTAGTAATCAGAGCCACCATTGCAGCAATACGGCGGATTATAAAAGCCTCAGAGCAATCTCAATATGCTGCTCCCGCATGAAAAAATGTTCTGGGCTATGAGCATCTAAATATTCTGAGCATACTCCCTGGGGATATTGAAGCATGAATGTTTGCCAGGAAGCCTTTGCAACATGGGTGGCACATACAGGGAAGCTGATGCAGACATGTGAACCTTTGCAACATAGTTCGCTCAAACAAGAACCCTGATCCCATGTACACGCCAAAAAATTGAATTCCACCCGTTCATAGATGTGGTCCTTCAGTCTGTACATAGAACTGACTCTAAGGCGGACCAATTTCAACTAGGATACCACTCATTCCTCTGAGGCTCTTAGCCTCACATTAGCAGCCAACGAACAGCCAATTTGAATTGGGATTCTCCCCATCCCCTGAAAATCCTTAGGCCCAGGTAAAAACTTGAAAATTCAATCATATTACATTCGGACAGATGGTCCCTATTCCTTCTAGAGGCCAATCACAGCCAAACAAAATGAATAAGGATTTCGTATGTTCCTAGAGTCTAGGGTTGAGTGTCTGTATAAGAGCTACAGCAGGCAGCAAACAAGCTGAAATCAGATACACTGGAAGGTCCCCAATTCTGTATAGAAGGTAAGTAAGCACTAATCGAGTTGAATTGGCGCTAGTCTTGTACAGAAGCCAGCTAAACGCCAATCAAATTGTCATGGGGTGTTGCATGTTCCTCAAAGTCCGTAATCCTATCAAACCTCTAAAGCAGTAAGCAAGCATAAGTAAATATGTCTCGCATGTCTGGGAGTCCTGTACAGAAGCCAATCAAACCCTTCCTTGAATATCTTTGTGTGTGCAACATCTTCAACAGTTCTACATAAAAAATTAAAAGCATTCTTGAAATCACCCGGTTTTGCCTATTGTGGGTAACTTCATGTGAAATCCACTTCAGAGACATCAAATGGGATCCAGCCCCTTCCTGCCCCTTCCTGCAATTTCCTTATGCCACATGAAGACTTTCCATTCTATCTAAGCTCATTTCAGGACTGGTTAAATCCAAGGGTCAAAGACACGTGTCGATTCAGGGGGAGGCAATATCATTACGGAAGATGGCAATCTGGATGTTTAGGAAAGGCACTGCCGTTCAGAGACCCAGGCGGGTACTTCTCTAAACCCTAAACCCTTTTAGGATTTAGGGTTCTTTATGCGGCTGAGGCTTCTACGTGGCGACTCATCTGGCCTGCTTATGGAGCGGGCTTTACTTCGCAGGTCGTGCCGTTGACCTGGCGATGGGGATGAAGTATCTTGGAAAATCATAAGGGGTTTTGGTGCGCAAAGCCTCCGTGTCCTGCTAGTGAAGGCCGTGTTGTGTTGTCGGATGGTTTTGACGATGACGCCGATGATCATGATGGTCAACGTGCTCGGGGCAGCTGCCAAATGCAGGAGATCGGCGCAGAAACAGCCTAGACTAAAGATCATAGCCACCCACCTTCAAAAAGCTGTGTGCGCGTGATTGTGCCATGGATATTAACATCATCATAGTTCGCTGCTGCCGGGACAGCGCAGCCTTGCTGATTTCAGGGGTTGCGCAGGAAATCAATCGGCGCAACAAG